GTTTAAATAGGGATACAGGTGGACCCATTGCAACAATGAGAAGTACAAGTCGTTATGTCGAAAACGAACTTTACAACTTTGGGGGGGGGTGGGGATGATTGGGTGAGGGGGTCGGGGGGAGGATGGGAAGGGATGGGAAGGAGAAACAAAGGAGGAGGCTATAATGCTTGATAAGAAATGTACTCATTTCTTATCAATTGTAACCCATGTAATTGTAACCCCTCTGTACAGTATTTTCACAATTAAAATTAAATTAAAAAAAACACTTGGGGGGCTGGGAAGGTGGCTCAGTGGTAGAGTGCTTGACTTGCATGCATAAGGCCCTGGGTTCAATTCCTCAACACCACATAAGCAGAAAAAGCCTGAAGTGGTGCTGTGACTCAACTGGTAGAGTATTAGCCTTGAGCTGAAGAGCTGAGGGACAGTGCCCAGGCCCAGAGTTCAGGCCCCATCACACACACACACACGCACACACGCGCACACGTGCACACATGCATGCACGCACGCACGCACGCACATACACACACACACACAGGCGCACTTGGGGAAAATTACAACTTATTTTCACCTGTCATCTTTCATTAGTAGTCTCTTCTTTCTTAATCATCTACAGACTACCTCAGGGAGGTTACTTGATGTTACTTTATTCTGCTTGGCAAAACTGTGACAACGTTCAGGTATTCTCCCTAGTCCTTCTGGTTTGGTAATTCAAACCTAGACTTAGCCAGATTGATTCTGTTCTTTCATGTCTTTGACCCTATTCCTGTGGCTAAATACCCTGATCCTGGGTTCCACTTCATATTTCTGACCCAAATCTAACATATTCTTTGCTACGCATAAACTTGATCCTGATTCCGATTGGTTGGTATGATACTTGATTTGCCTCTCTGTGTTAATACAAGCGCAAAGGCTTGGCAACATAGCCCCAATATGAACAAACTGATGGCAACATTACTCAAAGTGACTCTAAGAAGTGCAACCGAAGCAACATCAGGCTTTGGCAAAGACAGATGAATTCTTTAAAAGAAAATGAGCAGATCCTAGAAAAGCACAAAGGAATAAAGGAAGATTCTGTAAGAATTTACATATTAAATGTCAAGTAGAATTTAATCATACTTATAATGGAAAAGACTAAGTATTAAAATTTATTGTATTTTAAAAACTGAGATAAAACAAAGCTCTTTCCTACTAGGAGGAGCATTTACTCAAGAGTAGTCAGATATCCTACCTGATTCAAAGTGAGGAGGGGGCCAGGGGAATCTCATCAATTTAGGAATACTTCAGCTTTAACTAATCCTAACCAGATAAATGGAATTTAAATTTGACTAACATGAAACTCAGATTAGCTGAAATAAATAGGCCAAATGGTTGGAACTAAAATCAGCTTCCTGAAGGTGAATCAAAATTACACTTCATGTTTTGTTGAGCTTAAAGTAAAAAAAAAAAAAAAATCAGGTTGCTTCTATCACCTGTTTTGTCTGTACCATTTGGCATTATTTCCTGTGACTATTATTTGTTCGTTTGTTCATTGCTACTGTCTACTAGAATATTAACTTCACCAGGTCTGGGGTGTCACCTGTCTTGTTCATCCTTTGATTGCTAGTGCTTACAACGGTACCTGGCATATACAATGGGCTTTTAATAATTTATCTCCAAACAAAAAGCAGATATGCCACTTTGATTCCATTTATAAAATTACAGTTAGTCACATCACAAATATCAAATATTTCATAGCAAATCAAATGGCCACTCTAAAGACTAAACTGGTAAAAGATGAGAGGAATCAAAGATAATCTAAAAAAAAATTTGACTAGGCCAAAACCAAAATCATGATATTTGACATTTATAATATCAACTGACATCTAAAAGAGCTCCTGAATCTTTTCATAAGTAATTCTGAAATCATTATGGTTACCATTTTGCTTTGTTTTGATTTGAAAGAAAACCATCCTTTGAGACGATGATAACTGATCCATACTTCCTAACTTATTAGTGAAGCAACAGCCTCTAAATGCACAAACATTCATTAGAAATATTTTCTGTCAGTAGAGACGCCTGCAATGATGACGACTGAAAATGAAATCTGATATCTCATTCCTTAGTAGGGGAAAGGGTAACATGTTCTAAAGCAAGAAAAATACAGCTTTTGAGAAAAAACTGGAGGGCTGTAGCAAGCCCAATTTCTGTTTACTCTGGTATTATTACCATCTTGTTCTCTTTTCCTCCACAGAGAGCAACATAAGTGTGTCTGTGTGTGTACACATAACTTTCCACCTATATTCTCCCACAGCATAGAATAGCTTAATCTTACAGAGAAGCAAAAAGTCTATGAGAACAATATCATCTTTATGACCACTTAACGTAATGAAACTACTTAATTATGGTATACACCTGACAAAATTTATTTAGTTTTTAATTATTTTTATACTGAACCTTCTAGTGTTAGAAGATAATCACAAGAGCAATTGATAATCACAATTGTTAACATTTTAATAACTCAGAATTAGTCATAATGAACTAATTGAAAAACAAAATAATGTTTTCAAAGTCATAATGATTATTTCCTTTGCTTACATTGATTAGAGTATAAAAGTCAGTTTTTCATCACTATGACAAAATATCTGAGATAATCAATTTAATCAGGGGAAAGGGTTATTTTGGCACTGAGATGCAGATTTCAGCCTGTGAAGGCTTGACCTGTTGCTTTGGGCCTGTGGTGGCACAGGACATTGTTGTAGGAGTGCATGGTTGAGGAGGGCTACTTAACTCAGGGCAATCAGAAAGCAGAAAGAGACAAGAAAGGGCCAAAGTCTCAATATTCCTTCATGGGCATATACACCTAGTTTCTTTCCACTGTTCTTATTTCCTAAAGGTTCTACATCTAGCAGTGCTTCAGCCAACGGCCAAGTTTTCCACACATGAGCCTTTGGTAATTATCAAGATCCAATAACAAAGCTAGCCAAACCCGGCACATAGCTCATATTTGTAGGTCCTACCAACTTGGAAGGAAGATGATCAAGACCAGTCTAGGTCTAAAAAATAAAAAAATAAGAAGTCTGCATAGACCTTATGTCGGAGAACAGGCTTAAGTGTGGTGGCACACATAGCTCTATGGGAGTACAGTTCAGTTCAGAATCTATCTGAAAAAATAACCTAAACAAAATGGCTGAGAACACTTGCCTAGCAAGTGTAAGGTCCTACGTTCAAACCCAACACTGCTGTGGGGGAATATCCCAGCAAAGGCAGAGAGGTACATTTAGAAAAGTGAGACACTAATAATTTGGCTCAGGTGCATAGTGAAAGTAAAGAAGTGGAAGCTGAATGCAAAGTAAGCAATTTCAGATTGAAATTCATGGCAATATATTTACATCAGATAAAACCTTACCAGAAAATGATGGATACAGGGCAAAAGCACAATGTCTGCCAAGGTAAAGTAAAGCCCTTCGGCAAACACATGCTCCAGAGGAGGAAGGTCAGAGGCCTTTGCTTTCCTGATGTGAGAAGGCTCCCTGTTGGTAGGAGCTGGTTCTTCCTGCATTGCAAGCTTTGAGAATGCCACTTTCATTTCCAAACTCTTAGATGGAGAATCCAAGTCCTTGGATGCTTCCTGGATATGGACCTTGGTCTTTGCTGTTCTTTTCTTTTCAGCAACCTTCTGTTGTTTCAGCTTCTGTCTGCGTAGTTTGTCATCATTGTGTACTCTAACAGGCTCACTAAGTTTTTTCTCTAGCTGTATTATTTCTGCAGGGATAGCTGGGGGCTGTTCAACAGACTCTCTAAGAAAATTCTCAATAGCCAAAGGGATGGTGAGTTCACACAGCCTGGTCCACTGACTAACCTATAAAACAAAACAAGAAATGATAGGATTCTTTCTTCTTAACACAGACTGAATATAAATGTCATTCTGGGAAATTAGATTGGTGAAGAGAATTTAAGAATTTAGTCTTGGGCTAAACTATCCCTGGGCTTGCCTTTTATGCTCTATCAAAACTTATTTAGGTGCTTCAAACATGAAAACATTAAACAATGGAGCTTTTTGGTTTCAGTAGCCTCTTACTGAATAAATACACCTTCACCAAAAAAAGCAGGGCTTACAAAGCAGTTACTTCAGCTCCTGTTTATATGTAAATGCTCCCTTTGATGATTCTCAATATAACTAAAAGACAAAGAGAAGTTAATCTCTACAAATATGTCTCCAAACTATATAACTTACAATTTTTTTTTTTTTTGTGCCAACCAGGGGCTTAAACTCAGGACCTTTTGGTGTTGTCCCTGGGCTTTTTCACTCAAGGCTAGCTACTGCTTTGCCATATGAGCCACAGCTCCATTTCTGGCATTTTGGTGGTTAATTGGAGTTGAGAGTCTCATGGACTTTCTTGCCCTGGCTGGCTTCGAATCATAATACTCAGATCTTAGCCTCCTAAGTAGCTAGGATTATAGGCCTGGGCCACTAGCCCCTGGCTTATTTTAGGTATTTCTTTGGTTATTGTTTTTTGTTTTCTATTTTGGTTTTGGATTTTTGTTTTTTGTGTTTTTTTATGCTGGGGCTTGAACTCAGGGCCTGGGTACTGTCCCTTAGCTTTTTTTGCCCAAGGCAAGTGCTCTACCAGTTGAACCACAGATCTACTTCCAGCTTTCTGTTGGTTGACTGGATACAAAAGTCTCATGGACTTTCCTGTCTGTACCAGTTTCAAACTCATGGCCCTCAGATTTCAGGCTCCTGAATAGCTAAGTATACAGGCATGAGCCACTGGCACATGGCTATTGTGTTTTGTTTGGGGCTTTTTTCCCAAATAAATGAAATCTTATTGCCAACAGGAAGACACATTTTCAAATGAAGGTGTTAGTACTTTGTAGCTTTAATCACTGAAGAGAGACCTGACCTTCTACTTACTTCAGCACAGGCTTTCAAGCAAGTCTTTTTAAAACCCAGAAGTTCCAAAATATCCTTCTTTGATGGGTCAGCTTCATAAGATTTCTGGATTATGTGTCTTAGTACAACAGCAAGTCCAGCTCTACAAAAGTTGTTGGGCTGTTCTACCACCGCAGGCAAACAGCAAGTCTGGACTATGGGTGGAAGCTCTTGCCTAGAAATAACCTGCATTTCAAGATCCTGGGATGGTACATTTCTTAGAAGTGAACTATCAGAACTTTCCTTGCTGAGTACTAAATAAACTTTTAGGATTTTGCAGTCACAGTATGACAACAAAAATAAAGTTACAGATGTATGAAGAGGGAAGATGCATCCTTCTACTTGGTGAGAAAAGTCCAGGTATAAGTATTCTTCTGCAAGACTTCTCTTAATACCTTTCATGTTCTTCATTCACTGGGTCACCTAAAGCACAAATGGAAATAGTTACATGCTTTATAATATAACAATTTGGAAGCTAATATTAAAGATAAATGCCTATTCTGGAAACGTAAGAATTTATGATGTTGTATTTGTCCCTTAAGACTGACTAAATGCCTTCAAAGGAAATTTTTCCTGTACTTTGTACAACAAAGGAATCGTTTTACACTTCGTTCCTTTAAGATGAACATAATTTATTGTCTTGCAACTCTTGTTTTCTTGCACATCTCTATGTCTATTAATTTTTTTTGGTTCTGTCTTTTGGTTCTGTCTGTAAATGCCTTCAAAGGAAATTTTTCCTGTACTTTGTACAAAAAATTAGCCAGGAATCATTTTACACTTGGTTCCTTTAAGATGAACACAATTTGTTTTGCGACTCTTGTTTTCTTGAACATCCCTATGTCTATTAAATTTTTGGTTCTGTCTTCAATATATATTCAGAATCTGATTATTTTACAAGATTTCGATTGTTTTTAAGATACCATCACCCTGCTCTGAATTGTATCAATTGCCTCATAAGTCTACTTCCCATCTTACTACCACTCTGGTTTATTCTCAACATAGCAAAATGATTCTGTTAAAACTGAAGTAATGTCACCACTCATGTAATGCCACTCAGTTTAAACCTTCCAGTGTCTTCCCATTCTATTCATAGAAAAACCAGTTTCTCTAACAGCCTACTAAGATTTTCTTGATCTAATCTTTTTATGTTTTCTGCTTTTCTCCTTGCTCCAAAGTAGAGCTATTCCCTAAAACTCTAAGCATCTTCCCATTTCAGGATCTTCATACATGGTATTTCAAGAATCAAAAACATTGCTTTTAGCTTCTAACTGCTGATACTGTTTCTTCTTTTCCTTCTCAGTGCTAATAACAGGGGTTGAGCTCAGGGTTTCATGCTCTTGCTTAGCTTTCTCACTCATGGCTGATGCCCTACCACCTGAGCCATGCTTCCAGTCCAGCAGTTTGCTGGAGATAAAGTCTTCAAGATTTTTCTGCCAGGTTGGCTTTGAACTCAGGTCCTTCAGATACAACCTCCTATGTAACTAGGATTCCTTTTACATTCTTACATCTTCCCTGACCTTTCTTTTTTTGCTTCACCCACATACAGTAAAAAGAAAACTTTTACTGCCTCTTCTATCCTTTGTCTCCATATCACTATCATAACATACTTAACATATGCAACATTCTAATCATATTATTATTTTGTTAAATTAACGCATGAATGGGTATGTACTGAATATTTTAAAGATACCTACAGGGTATATTGCAGTCAATTATTCCTATAAGATTTTTGTCAATTAAGGTGACTTTTGACCTTCAAATTATACATTCATTGGATCCAGAACTGTTGAGCTCTAATAAATCACAATTTCAGAGCTGACGCTAGATGGCACTGTTTAAACGCATTCATCATAAAAACTTGTAATAAGAGGGCATTTTAAAACTTTTTTTAAAAGACTTTTTGTATACTTGCAGTTTTGTAACTGAAGATCCTTTGAAATATTAGTAACATCAATTAGGAAATAAATTATCAACACACTAAATTTCCCTTAGTATTGCAAAATCTTTGTGTTTTATTGGTTTTTAATCAAAAGCAAGTCTTCACTGTTGATGCTTCTTGGTTTTCAACCATTTTGTTTTGTTTTACTACAGGTTATAATCCATTGTAATAATAAAATAGAAATAGTAAACTAACCACCTGGGAAAAACTTCTTGCTAAAGTAATCTATTATATTTTTTGTTAAAACACAATAGATTTATACTTTAAAAAATCTAAAAGAAAAGTCATATATTTAAAAGTAGTGACTTTTTAACCCATAGAAATTATTTTTGTACTGAGATTTATTAATTTTCTGAATTTTGTTTGACATCAGGAGTTGATATTTAAATTACTAAGAAGTAAATATTAAAGTTAACAGGCAAAAAGAACTAGCACACTTTCTAGAAATTGATAGTCTCCTGGAATTTTCCCATAGAAATCTACATCAACTTACAAGTCTTTGTGGCTCTCCTGCAGTGGGATACTATCAATCAAATCCCTAAGTACTTCAATAAGGTAGATTTCAAAGGACACACTATCTTATTTTCTCAGTTGTCTAGTCTATTGGCCTACTGTGAGACTAGTTCTGCTAATACTTTAAAACAAAAAAATTATTTTATAGCTTTTCAGATATACAGATGACAAGAGAGACCTGTATATTTGCCACATTAATGTATACAAGAACCATAAAAATGAAAGTGAAGGGGTGACACTGTCCAAAAGGAATTGCCCTAATAACCCAGCTCATAGAACTGTAACTCCTTGTACAATTCCTTAATAACAATATTTTTTAAAAACCATAAAATACTCTTTGATTCATATTTTACAACTTCTTCTCACTATGAGCACTTAATACAAGTTTGATGTCAACAAAACAGAACAGCAAGTAACTGTCCTTTGTGGAAACTAAAAATAAATGAGATACTCAAAAGAAAATGCAAAGTACTCTTGATTCTTAACTTTTTTTTTCCAATATAGATATGGTTTTCCCTACATTACTAATGTTACACGGTCAGTTGTAACTGAAAAAAAAATTCACTCCCTCTGGGCAGTAATTCACTACAGTAATTTTTAAAGTATATACTAAATATTTAGTAAATCTATGCAAATTTGGTACTACTTTTTGCTTAAATTGAATTTTCTTTTGATTTTTTTTTTTTTTTTGTTGGTCGTGGGGCTTGAACTCTGGGCCTGGGTGCTGTCCCTCAGCTCTTCTGCTCAAGGCGAGCACTCTACCACTTGAACTACAGCGCCACTTCCTTGTTTTGAATTTTTTAAGAGTGCGGAATCTAAGTTTTTGCTCATTGTGCATAAAGACTGTAGACAAAATTCCTCCTTTTTCTTCTTTCTGATCTTGATTCTTTCATTTACTAATTTTATGTCATCAGTTTAAAGAAGGTAGCTACTAAGAGAATCAACTTCTGGGTCTCTAGGGATTCTGAGCACATTCTTGCCAAGCACAGAAATAGTGTATCATTTCGTCTTTCTCACCTTTGACAAGCGTCATACTGCAATTGCTCCCGAGGGCGAGTGAGAAAGCATCAGACCAAGCCATCAACTCTAGGAGCTGAATAAATAACACAGTATAAATCTCTTCCTGGGTATGCCCAATGCACTTAGTAATTTTGCAAAGGGGCAAAAGGTAAAAAAATACTGAGAATCTTCAGATATGTTATAATGATTGCATTAATCGAAAGTTCAACATGTAGGAATGTAGACATCTTTTTACACTGTCATTCTAATTAATGTTTCTTGGCCTTTAAAAGTTAAATTTTTTTAAAAAAAATCTAAAACCTTTTTTACTACTTTAGTCCATACAAATTGTATCAATGTATGTGTGGTGCATGTGAGAGAGAGAGAGAGAGAGAGAGAGAGAGAGAGAGTGAGAGAGAGCTGACAATATACTTTGCTATAAGCAGAAAAAAGTCATTTGAAGATTTTGGGGCTTAGCCAGGTGCTGGTGGCTTATTTGTAATCCTAGCTACACAGGAGGCTGAGATCTGAGGACTGCAGTTCAAAGCTAGCCTGGACAGAAAAGTCCCTGTGAGACTTTTATCTACAATTAACCACTGAAATGCCAGAAGTGGAGCTGTGGCTCAAAGTGGTACAGCACTAGCTTTGAACAGAAGAGCTCAGGGACAGTGCCCAGGCCCTTAAGTTCAAGGCCCACAACAATTAAAAAAAAAAAAAAGATTCTGGGACTCAAAATTTAAGTCAAGTCAGTATTTCTGGTGACTGAATACTACATAATAAATTATGTATTACATAATATGATGAAAAGATGTATTGTACAGCAAAATATTGGGTTTTTTATACTAATATTTTATTTTTGGAAGTGCTGGGATCAGATCTAGAGCCTCACACTTGCTAAGCAAGCACTCTGTTCCTGAGCTACATTCCCAGTTTGTACTGTTTCTTTATCACTTATATAAATTCCTTATAATGGATACGCATAAATGGATAAGGATATAATTTATAAATTATATAAATTCCTTATAATGGGTAAGGATAATCAGTAAGGATAAATACCTTATCCATTGACATTATTAAATATTTCTTCCCAGAAAAGATAATGACTCATGTTAAATACTGTGTTCAAATATTCAAAAACATTGATACTGAAGCTAAAAGCCAGTCACAAAATGGTAGAATATAAATGTGAAATTCTTAAGTCCACATACATATTAATTGAATATACTGTAGAAAAAACAGGGTTTGAACAGCTTACAAGTATGAAAAATTACAAATATTTCTCTCCAAGATTAAAATTTAAATGCTTCAAATCTCTGCTACATCAAACGTCCAATATTTCAATGACTAAAGTTTAACTCATGTTTCTTGCCTTTCATAAATCAACACTATTTAGTTGCACCTGACATTCTATTATAAAGATGTATTTTTTAAAAGCTTGACCTTCTGAAGGCAACAGCTAATTAACTAAAGTATTATTGGTCAATCAAGGAAACAGCTTTTCAGAAATTATTTCATTATATGATGTAGAAAATACACTCTAGAGAAAAAAGTGACTAAATTTTCACAACTGGAAAAGAAGTCCTAAAAGACTTAAAAAAGATAAAAAAAAATTTACTGTAACTTCAGAAATAAAAAATGTATGTGATCCTTCTAAAGAATTAGAGAATCACCTGCTGCTATGAAATCAAAATGCTTGCAATTGCATCTGACCTCATAATTAAAAGGGATTCACAATATGAAATGCTAACATTGAAGAAATAACACCAACAAAAAAAAAGTAAATTTTCTCAGCAAACAATACCTATATGGCTTAAATTGCTGCGTCTAAAGTCTGACACAAAAGATTTCGGTCATCTACTATACCTTGAGGATAGAAAGATAGGCCATATTATACTACAGATGTACTGCATCAGTTGCCTTGCCCAGAGGTTTCAAGGAAGGAAGGATAAATTTGCAACTTGGATGTTAAGTACTTATTTATTTTTTGTCCATCATGGGGTTTGAATTCTGGGCCTGGGTGCTGTCCCTCAGCTCTTCAGCTCAAGTCTAGCTCTCTACCGCTTGAGCCACAGTGCCAGTTCCAGTTTCCTGGTGGTTGATTGGAGATAAGAGTCTCAGGGACTTTCCTGCCCAGGCTGGCTTTGAACAGTGATCCTCATATCTCAGCCTCCTGAGTAGCTAACATTACAGGCGTGAGCCACTGGCGCCGGGCTTAAGTACTTATTCTTAACTCAAACCTAAGTGGTGATCCTAACTAGAAAGTAAAATAGGCTGAAACATTTTTTTTTTCTACTTTGGCAAGAGTGGGGTTTGATCTCATGTTTGCTAAATAGGTTCTCTACCACTTGAGCCCTGCCGCCAGCCCTAAACAAAACATTATAGGTCCATTACTACAAGGGCTTTGGAGTCTTGTTTAAACTGGGCAAAACCATATAAGTGTACAAAACAAAGCAATTAAATCTGATCAGGCAATTCACAATTCTCAAATTTAACAATCAATCCTGTTTTTGAAGGCCTTTTAAAAGGATACCTACTTGTCTAAGTCAAACACAATTTCAAGGAAGTATATGTGTAGCAGTTGTGTCCAGTGTGTGCTCCTACAAGCCAGTTTTAAAAATACATATAGCTAACGTTTATTAAATGTGACAGCAAATCACTCGGGTTATTAGTTTATTTTCATATTTAAATAACCATGTGCCCATGTTTAAAATTGTCACAACATTGATTCTTGCTAGCTTTTACATTTTCTTCTGTCAACATGGTGTGTATATGTAGGCTTTGGGAAAATTCAAGCACACTCCCTTTATCAACAATTCAATACATTATTAAATGCTGGAGAAAAAGTGGGGGGCGGGGGAGCGCCAATCCTTGTGCTTGAATTCAGGACCTGGGCACTGTGACTGAGGTTTTGTGTTCAAGGCAGGCGCTCTACCACTTGACCCATAGCTCCGCTTCTGGCTTTTTGGCAGTTTGAGGGAAGAGTCTCACAGAACTCTGCCTCCTGAGTAGCTAGGATAACCGTTGTAAGCCACGTGGGCCCCGCTGAATTTTTCTTTTTTTAACATTCAAGAATTTATGTTATTGACTAGGAATAGGATGCTGGTGTTAAAAATAAATGTCACTTCATTCCAGGACCAAGTAGGGGTGGGATGCAGAGCACATGTTAAGTAAATATTTGTTATGCTACGGTAATTGTCATGTAGGTTAAACTCAAATTTTCGTAGGTAATTGAATAGCCGAAGGGACATGCTGTTGTGTGTAACAAGCACATATCCCCCCTCCTGAACCAAGTCCTTGGGGCCCATCCGTTACGTAGTAGGCAATGAAAAACTTAGGTATCCGAAAAAAGAGGGGAAAAAAAAGTTAACACCGTAATCCAAGAGACTTCCTACTGATACTTAGCGCCCCCCCAACTAACCCATCAACTCCTAGGACTGAAAGCTGCTCCCATCCCTCTACGGGGGAGGGGGGGGGTAACAGGGTCCGGGAAAACTATGAAGCCAGGAAAAAGGTGGAAGGCCAACAGACCCTCCTCTACAGCTTCGTCCAAAAACGGTGTGAGGCGAACCGCGGGCTGAAGAGGCACGGCGAGGAAAGGCTTCCGTCTTTCCCGCTCTCCCCCAGCCTCCTCGGCCCCGGCGCCCCACCAACCAGGGGCACAGCCCGGCGCTGCCGGCTCGCGGGGCCCGGGCGGCGGCGGAGGCCCAAGCGCCCTCCTCACCTGGTCGCTGAGGCGCGGCCAGGCTCGAACGCGACACGGGCGACGCCGGCCCACCGCGCCTTCCCGCCCAGCCGGAGCCGAGATTCCGAGGCTACTTCTGAGCGTCGCTGCGAAAGAAAACAAAAAAAAAAACCAACCCCAAAGGTCGGGAAAATAAAAACGCCCGCGCCAGGAGCCCGTCATTCATAATACGGCGGGCCGGAAGACGGCGTGTGGCGCCACTTCCGGCTGCGTCACCGAGACACGTTCCTCTCCGCGCTTGCTTTCCGGAACCTTTGTGTTGGACCGCCGGCAAAACGCCGGGGGACACGTTCGGAAGGAGAGCCTGGGAACGGACTGCGCGGCGGGGCGGAGCGGTGAGTGGTGCCGGCACGTCCCGGCGCCGGGATGCTTCTGGGGGCCTCGAGACCCCCGCGAGGGCCGAGAAGGACTGTAGCTCTGCGCAGACTTAGTGTCCACCCTCTGCTCGAGGATGAATCTCCCAAGTTGCAGGCGGCTGCGCGGCCCGGCGTGAGAGCTCCGGCCCCCGTCGCGGAGGGCTGTGCCTCCGAGGGAGCTGCGGGCTGAGGACCGAGGCCCCGGGACCTGGACCTCGGAACCGGGTCTCGGAAGTCCGGGGTGGTTACCGCACCCCTCCGGTACTGCTCCCTCTTTTCAGCCTTATCTTCTGGCTCCCCCATCTCTAGGGCTTACGTGCAAGGCCTTGGGTTGGTTTGCTTGCTTGCGGGTGCCGATGCTGAGGCTGGAACTCAGGGACTGGCTTCTGTGCCCTAAGCGCGTCTTGCTCAAAGCTGGCGCTCCACCACCTGAGCCGCAGCTCACCTGCTTGCTGGCTTTTTGGTAGTCAAAGGAGATGAACGTCTCAGGAACTTTATTGCCCGGGCTGGCTTCGAACCGTGATCATCAGGTCTCAGCCTTCTGAGTAGCTAGGATGACAGGCGTGAGCCACCTGGCTCTTCGAGATGTTTTGCTTTGATGGAGGGGTTCACGTTTCTTTTTCCAAGCGTTTCCTTTTGCTTTTCAGCTCCTCCACGGTGTGATTAGTATTCGATTGGGGAGGGGGCCAAGTATCCAGTGGAGGGATGAAAAAGAAAAAGAATGCGAAAGCTTGTAAATACGTGAATCGGGAAGTTTCTTTGAGGGCTGAAATAAGACAGCCGTCCAGCCATTGCACACTACACGAATAGTGTTTGCTGTTAGATTGTTCGGTTTGTTGTTGTTGCACGTGCAAATCAGCTTTAAAGACTGGCAGATAGGGAGGGAAATGAGATTTAGAGAAAAGCATAAATTTATACTTACCTAAGAACATTTGATTTAATTTGAGATTACAAAAGCTCTAGAAATTAAAATTTAAGCAAGAACGTAGCTTATTGTTTATAAACACCTTTTAAATTAGAAGAATTAGGGAACCAGCAGAGCACCAAATAAACAAAACAACAACAAAAAAAAACCAACCCTGTTCTCCCTGAGTTTACAACTCTAATGGAATTAATGAGTTGATGCCAAAATCGAAAGATTGGGAAGAAAGAGCATTGCAAACAGGAGCATTAGACAAATTCCCAGTATATGAGAGGTGGTTTTGTTTTTGCTATTTGAGATTTGATTTTGTTTGATAGGGGAAAAGTTGACTTTCTTTTATGACTTTTGGTGCAGTAATGTGAGAAATTATTCAAATGGTGTAGGGAGAGAGACAAGACCATAATACATTGATCATTCATTCCACTTTGATCACTTATTTTAGCATGCTACAAAGTGGTAAGTTGGCAAAATAGGTACAGAGCCTCTTCCTGAAGAACTGTTTTATAAAGTATATAATGGCACTTGTGAAGAAAAATAACATGGTACAAGGTACACAATCCTGGCACTATAAAAGAGACTAAAAGGTACCTTAGCAGGAAGATATTATTAACAGGATTTGGGAAGGAGAATCACAGTAGCTGTCTGATCTTTCATTAGAAGTAATGTTTTAAAGTGGATCTTAATGGTGTTTGGAAATATAAAAATGCACAAGATTCTCAGAAATGAAGAATGGCAAAAGCTAGCCAATTGTTCTACTGTAGGGAATATCTTGGAAAGATGAATATATATTTGTATGTGTTAGTGAGTGTTCTTAAATGCTAGGCCAAGAAATTAGGGCATAGTTTTGAAGATGATGGGAAGCCTTTAGTTTTTCATCAAGAAAATAAGAAAAATGTAAAAGGGAAAAATCTGAATGAAATATTAAAATAGCAAATATAGGAAGACAGAATAACCAAATTATTATTAAAATTCAGATAAATGAATGACAATCTTAATTTGAGTAGTAACAGTGCAACATAAAAAAAATGGTACTGTGTTAGATTCAACAGGAATATTTCTGATTAGATATAAAGAGTAAGGAAAGAGCCCTGAACCTTGATGACCAGAGAGTGGTATCATTTATTGGGGAAAAAAAGTGAAATACAAGGTGAGAATAACCATAACCTCAACTTTTAGTTATAATTGAATTTGAGATATCTTTAGGTCCACCTAGTAATCTGGGAATACAGAATTTGAGCCTAGAAGTGTGCATATTTGAATGTCATGTGAAACTTAAAAGAGGTGAGTAGAGGGAAAAGGAGTAAACAATCCATTTTCAACTTGGCTTTCATATGCCAGAATTCCACCTGCAGCAAGTTTTAATGACATAAATCCTGAAAATGGGAATTACTGTGTTGATAGATCTTTAACTGTAGCAATGTATGTGTTGAGTTTTTACAATATTAACTTCAGGGACCAAAGAAGATTGTAAGCTGTATATTTTGATCAAAGGATTGAATATGAAGAATACTTTTTTTTTATTCCAACAATTCTTTGCTTGGAGAAGTATTTGAAAAAGCGGCAAGTAGAAATAGAACCACTTGGGGCTGGGAAGGTGGCTCAGTGGTAGAGTGCTTGCCTTGCATGCATGAAGCCCTGGGTTCAATTCCTCGGCCCCACATAAGCAGAAAAAGCCAGAAGTGGTGCTGTGGCTCAAGTGGTAGAGCACTAGCCTTGAGCTGAAGAGCTGAGGGATAGCACCCAGGCCCAGAGTTCAGGCCCCACGACCAACAAAAACAACAAAAAGAAATAGAACCACTTGATAATATCGGTAATCCCAGAAAATACAACTTTGTAATGTTTTAGAGTTTCATAAAACTTTGTTGTGTAGCCTTGTGAGATATACATATATATCCAGAGCCGTACTGCAGAGACATTACTTTGTATAAAATAGGCTAATGCATGAGACGTCACCATCTAGATGTGGCATAATAAGCTGATATTTAATATATTTTCTGAGATATTTAAAATGGGGACAGAGGAATAAAAAGAGGAAAAGATATATTGCGGTACAAGGTGCCACAATGGCCTCTGCAGCTATCACTTACCACATCCTTAACCATGGTCCTTCTGTGATTCAGTATCCACCTGCTACCCCACACATGTGTACACTGAATCTCTGGTTTTGTTCTGTTCTCAAAGTAAGGTATAAAAGAAGACATTTTGTAAAGTTGACCTAAACACAGCCAAATTCCTATTACTAAAACTATACAAGGTGTTGCTTAAAATAGAAAGTTCTGTGCCAGGGAAGATCTGCCTTTAAAAGTCTGCCATTGCTGGGCATGTTGGTGCATACCTAGAATCCCAACAAATTAAGACCAACCTGGTCTACCCAGAGAGATCCAGCCCAGGGTACATAGTGAGATTGACCCTGTCTCAAAACTGACAATGCAACCCGGCATCGGTGCACGCCTGTAATCTTAGCTACTCAGGAGGCTGAGATCTGAGGATCGTGGTTCAAAGCCAGCAGGAAAAGTCTGTGAGACACTTATCTCCAATAAACCACTCAGAAAACCGGAAGTGGTGCTGTGGCTCAAATGGTAGAGTTCTAGCCTTGAACTGAATTGCTGAGGGATAGTGCCCAGGCCCAGAGTTCAAGCCCCACAACCTATCAAAAAAAAAAACAAAAAAAAACACCTAACAGCGCTCTTGTTATTTCAGTCAGAGATAGAAAAGAAATTTCAGTTTTTCTTTTTTAAAAAAAAAAATTATTTATTTTTTATTGTGAAAATACTGTACAGAGGGGTTACAACTACATGGGCAAGATAATGAGTACATTTCTTATCAAGCATTGTAGCCTCCTCCTTTGTTTCCCCTCCCATCCCTTCCCAGCCTCCCCCCTCCCGCCCCCCCCACCCAATTCTCCCTACCCCCCCACAGAAATTTCAGTTTTTCTGTAGTAACCTCTTAGTCATTTTAAATTTGCACAGTATTATAAATAAAATGAAAAAACTTGAACATTGGTAATTATATCTTGTCTCTAAATTACTTTCCACTTTTTAAAAAATTCTTTCAGGTGTTTACAATGGCTGCTACTGTGAACTTGGAACTTGATCCCATTTTTTTAAAAGCTCTAGGTTTCTTACATTCAAAGAGTAAAGATTCTGCTGAAAAGCTAAAAGCATTGCTTGATGAATCATTGGCTCGGGGCATCGACTCGGGTTACCGTCCAACTCAAAAGGTATCTACATATGAGTTTAAAACTTGGATAGAGTTTTGTAGTAGTAGTACAGTAATCGCATTTAGGTCATCTCAAAAAGGAAGAACTTAAATTCTTTAGTTTCCTTCATTCTCTCAAGCTTTCAGAGAACTCATATACCACACAGAATAGTTCTACTTTGTGCATGTAGAATTCCACTTCAATTATTTATTGTCAATTTAAGTTGCTGAATGTAACCACAACTTAGTATTAATTATTCTGTAATGTTTTAGGACAAGCACTTAAATGAAGTAAAGGGCTGAGCATTTTCCAAACAGTGGGTAAGATGGCTAGAATATGATTTAAGGGAAGAGAGGTATAGGTGAAGTCAGAACTGTGTAGCTCCAATCTTGGTAATAATGAAGCAGTCAGTGGCAGGTTTATCTAATAAGAATATTCTGGAAGTGAAGACACCTTTTTAAAATCCCAGGTTACCTCTTTTAGTTGCATGATGACAATAGTGTATTGTGAATGTTTACCACATCCCAGACACTTCTGAGTGGTTTGTGTGTAATTTCAATTATGATAATCATCTTTTGTGATTGGAATTGCTTATTTTCCTCATTTTACAATAAGGAAACTGGGTTGTATGGTAACTTCATTTCACACAGCTGCTGTTTTTTTATTGGCAAGTGGGGAGAATAAGAACTACTTTGTAGAGTTATGAAAATTACAACAGGTAAAATATGTGAGTCAATTAGTGTAATGTCTGCCTGGAATATAAAAAGGTTCTTAGTGAATGACAATGCTTATTATATTCTTTTATATATACTCAGAATTCTTTTCAAATTCTTTCTGTCCCTAAAACTCCCCCAGGTCTGAGAAAGTTGGTACTTAAACTAAGAAGGAAAAGACAGAGCACTATATAATTAGCTGAAGTCTAATCACAGTCTGAAGCTCAAGACATAGTCAAGCCTCAGGCTCAGTACTTTTTTCTTTTTTATTATTTTTTGTTTTTATTTATTTTAAATTTTTTATTGTGAAAATACCATACAGAGGGGTGTACTTTTTTCTTAAGATACATACCCACAGGGTATTGATTACAAAGGACTACCAGGAAATTTGGAAGTATGATGGATATGTTTATTACAATGATTGCATTGCTAGTGTCAAACCTTAGCAAGCTTCATACTTAAATACGTGCAGTTATGTCAGCTTTTCTCAGTAAAGCTACTTAAGAAAAGGACATTACATTGGTCATAACATATTATCTCAGTTTTTAACTGGAAATTGCTTAAGTTTATTATCTATTGCTTATAACATATTAGGTAATATGAATACTTAAGAACTGGTATCTTTTTATTTTGCACTTTAGGATGTAGAGCCACCAAAAATTTCAAGCACAAAATCTATTTCTATTAAACAAGAGCCTAAAACAGCATCCACTCTTCCTTCTGGCAATAATAATGGCAAAGTCCTCACGGCTGAAAAAGTAAAGAAGGAAGCTGAAAAGAGACCTGCTGATAAAGTAAGATCATATTTTGACTTTGTTTATAAGAAAGTAAATTATTTTTCCATAAACAGAAACTGTTTTATGTCTACTTCTTTTATATAATAGGATATACATACATAATGGGCACTCAGTAATATACTTGGATAAATGCTAACGTTTTGAAAATGGAGTAAAATTTCGAAACCTTTTCTTAAACCATTTACATACTACTTTCAACAAATGTTTTGGCCTTTGGAGATACAGTGATTTCAAAGTAAACTGTGCCCTAATTGAGAGATTCTGTCTAAAATGGTTGCTGACAAATAAAAATAAAAAGGCAGAAGAAACATGACTGAATATGAACTTTGTTACATTAGGAAAGCGTGTTACCAAGGCCATAGACAATGCTTTGATTGTATATTTTGGACAAATTTTGAAAATAGTAATGAAAAATTAGTAGTTAATGAAAATAAGCTAAGATTTTCCTCAATAACTCTTTCCCTCAAGGTAGACCATACTACTCCATAGATGTTTCTAATTTTGTTAAATGCTGGGTACTCATAAGCTATATATTATTTTTGTGCTTTTAAACTTCTACAGTGATAATCATACTGTGGTAACTTTTTTCCACTCAACAGTGAAATTTGTGTTATGCATGTAGAACTAGATAAATTTTAATGACTTTATAATTATCTATGAATAAACTAGTTTATCCATTCATCTACTGACAAGAAACTAGGATCTTTGTGCTATGCTAACTTTTTGTGACTGTGATTTGTATAGGATTTTTACCTATATGGTGAAAAATAGAATCTGTAATGTTTAACTCCTAAGTATTGTCAAATTGCTTTCTAAAATGGCTGCACTGAAGTTTATTCTAACCAACAAAGATAAGACTCCAAATTTTCTATGTCTTACCAAATTTCAGATTTTATGATTCAACAGTTTTACCTACCCTGTTCATATTTTAAAAGATCCAGAACTAACTTTCAAGTACATAGGGTCCTGTGTTATTTCTAGATAATGGTAGAATGCTTATTATTTATTTTTTTTTCCAGTAGAGTTTAAATACTAGTAGTTCATAGCTTAAAATACATAAGATAAAAATAGACTTACTAATGCTGATTTCAAATCTAGCATCGTGCTTAAAAAATACATATATACATAAATATATAGATGAGACAGTACAAGTAAATCTAGTGAACTTCTAGAATTCTTTAATAGAATACAAAGAGAAATATAAGTATATACCAAACTGTTCTGATTTATTCATTTTTGCCTTGCTATTTTTTTTAAATTTTTAATTTTTTTTTTTCCAGCTTGGGGCTTGAACTCAGGGTCAGGGTGCTATCACTGAGTGTCTTTGTGCTCAAGGCCAACGCTCTACCATTTGAGCCACAGCGCCATTTCTCCTTTTTCGTAGTTTTTTGGAGATAAGAGTCTCACAGACTTTCCTGCTAGGGCTGTAACTGTGATCCTCAGATTTCAGCCTCTTGACTAGGTAGGATTACTGGAGTGAGCCACCTGCTTCTGGCCTTGCTATTTTTTTTTTTAAAGGTAGTGGGCACAAGTTAGTTATAATTCTTCCACAGATCTTTAATGTGCCCATCTGTCCCTAAATATAGCTTATTGCATGCTTTCCATCTTATCTCTCAAGAATTTAAAGTTTAGCATTTTGTTCTACTTTTATTATTCTGATTGGGTTCTTTTAATAGATGAAATCAGAAATTACGGAAGGAGGTGACATTCCAAAGAAACCTAGATTGGAGAAACCAGATACTCGAACCTCCCCCATCACTGTCCAAACCAGCAAGGATTTGGCTATGGCTGACCTTTCTAGTTTTGAAGAGACTAGTGCTGATGATTTTGCCATGGAAATGGGCTTGGCCTGTGTAGTTTGTAGGTAAGTTATACATTAGTTTCTTTGGAAGAACAAACAATCCCTTCTTGTTTTGGGGCATTTCTATTTCATTTTTATTATTTGAAGGTGAAGAACAAATAAGTAGATTGTCTTATCAACTGCCCATACAGCAATTTAACATCTCGAAAATGGTTAAAATTTTTAATTCTGGGGTTCCAGAAGGAAAGTGTTTGTATTCATTAGTGAGGAAGAGTATGTTAAGTAGAAAGTAAGAAATCTGTATTGCTTTCTTTTCCTCTGAATTGTTGATAGACTTATCTGAAGACTAGTCAGAATCTGCTGCCTTCTAGAAATAGGAAAAAATACACAATGAGAACTAACTAGGAAAATATAACCAAATTTATGGCATATAATATATTGCCTTCAAAATAAATGAAGTGCCTGTGCAGTCTGTGTGTTGGGATTTGTTAATTTTCACTTTTAGTGAAAATTTCGTTTTCTTTTTAACGTATCAAATGTAACAGGAACCACTCTGAAATGAATTTCAGGTGTTAAATTCAAGAAAGTATAATGTGTGGTTTTGTTTTTTTTCCTTAGACAAATGACAGTGGCATCTGGTAATCAATTAGTAGAATGTCAGGAGTGTCATAATCTCTACCACCAAGATTGCCATAAACCCCAAGTAACAGACAAAGAAGTGAATGACCCTCGCCTGGTATGGTATTGTGCCCGATGTACCAGACAAATGAAAAGAATGGTAGGGATTATTTTATGTCTGTTTTAACTAGTCCTTCACTTGATGCATGCGTTCAAAATTTTAAAATGACCACCTAATATATTAAAATATAAGGTTTAAGCTGTTTTTTTAAAGTGTCTGTGTATATATGGTATGTGTGTTTTATGTTTCTTTGCCTAAAGACCAGATCTGTATTATATGCATTTTTCTCTATTCAGCTTTTAGCGCCCTCTAATTCAGATAAATAAGCAGGATTAATATGTCAGTGTATTTATAAGCACTTTATAATACTGAGAAAGCACTGTGGAAAGAGATGAAATACAAAGTCTGTCTTTGTTGAGTCTGATAGGAAATAGAACTTGTCCATTCCTGGTTGAGTTGAAACCATCAGCTCTATAACTGCACAGCAGCAGTATTTGTATGTGTGCCCTGTCTTTCTATCTGTGTTTCCCTCATATTCTTAGAGTGGCTGTTTAGGTTGTATTTCCAATGTACTATCTCATTTTGCTGTTCATTAGCATAACTTATTATATGCCATAGTTTTCTAGTTTCACTTGATGTAAAAAATAGATAAATTAGAAATCAAGAAGTTGCTATCTATTCAATGATATATCTCTCCCCTAATTTTTCTTCCTCCTTAGATGAAGACTTATTTTGTTTGAATTTAAGGCCTTGCATTTGTTGGGAGGTGACACTTGAGTCAAGGCCTCAGCACATATTTGCTTTAGTTATGGTTTTGGGTACAGTCCCGATTTTGCCCTAAGCTGCCCTTGGATTGTGATCCTCCTATTTATGTCTTCCTTGTATTATTACTATTTAGAAAATGATAAAAAAAATCTATAAAACTAATAGTAAAATGATAAAAATATATGTCTTGCAATCTGTATCTTCAGTGTCATCACAATATTAGAAATTTAACTTTTATTTTACCTTATCTTTTGTTTTCATATTTCAGTTAATCCACTGTTGTTTTTTTAATATAGGCTCAAAAATCTCAGAAGCCACCACAGAAACCAGCCCCCACAGTTGTTTCTGTAGCTCCAGCTGTCAAGGATCCATTGGTTAAGAAGCCAGAAACTAAACTAAAGCAGGAAACAACTTTCTTAGCCTTCAAGAGAACAGAAGTCAAGGTATGGTCCATTTTTATCTACAGTTATATCTTAATCTAGTCTTAAGCAATGGATGAATAACTTAAAAATCGAATGGAAAACTATATATTGCATTACTATATGTTGAAAATACATTTTATTAACTAGCTAGAAAGGGAACATTTAATCATTGAATATATAATCCAAGTATTTGTTTTTATCAGAAAGAACAATCTAGGATTATTTCAGAATGACATTTCTTAGCTTTTTTATATATTGGATACTTATTTCCAAGGACAAATTTGGATTAAATTCTAATTAGTGCCAACAGTAGAAATAATTTCACTAGTACTCACACCATTAGAGCTCATTGGCCTCTTAAATGTTTTTCCAAGAAGTAGATTGACTATTGAAGAAATTTTCTTAATTGGTCTCATGGATTATTTTCTTTATTATTATGAGCTTTCATAGTATTTACTCTTTATACAAAGAAACCATACAGTATAGTGGGAGAACCACTCTTCATTTTCTGAGTTCCTATAGTCCATTATTAGCCTTCATATAGTGATAATGTCATAGAATAAAATATTTTCCTAAAATAATTTTATAAGAAAAAGTATACTTTTGTTGAATTATATATTCCACTAATGAGCTATAAACAGAAGAAAAACACTTAAGCCCAAATTCTCAAAGATCAGCCCCAGAAAATATTGACGGTACTACCTCGTCTCAGTAGCTAGATAGCAAGCTCAAGAACTTTTGTTTGATATAAAATATATGAATATAAGATGCTCTAAAAATTACTGGTAATTTTACTTGAAGAATTTTTTTTTACTTTATTCACTAAAAAAGAGTTGATAATCAAAGGGGATATCCATTATTGATTCATTATAAAGGAATGTAATGAATTAGAATAAAACAAGAACTAATTTATTAAAATTAGTTATGTTCTATACTTAATTATTTTTGGTATATTTTCTTATAACCTGTTACTATTAAAGTTTACTTTTTAGCTGGTGGCTCACGCCTGTAATCCCAGCTACTCAGGAGGCTGAGATCTGAGGATTGCAGCAGTTCAAAGCCAGCCTGGGCAGGAAAGTCCAAGAAATGTTCATCTTTAATAAACTATTCAGAAAAAGCTAGAAGTGGCACTATGGCTCAAGTGGTAGGGTACTAGTTTTGAGCAAAAGAAGCTTTGGGACAGCATCCAGGCCCTGAGTTCAGGCCCCAGAACTGACTAAAAAAAAAAAAAAGAAAAGTTTACTTTTAGGCAATCCTACATGAAATCATTTTATGGCAAATAAATTCATATTTTGGTTGTTTTTGTCTGAGAGATTTTGATGTTGTATGATAAATGTTTACTGTGAAAAAAAGTTTGTTCCTGTTCACATACAACAGGCAATTGTTTTCTTAACTGTAGTAATAGCAAAAAGATATTTTAAATTATAAAACATTTAAGTCAGGCATCCTGTGGCTCACATCTATAAATCCTAGCTACTCAGGAGGCTGAAATCTGAGGGTCAAGTTTCGAAAGCCAGCCCAAGCAGACTTATATCTCCTCCAGTTGACCACTAGAAAACTGAACATGGAGATCTGGCTCAAGCAGTTGAGTGTTAGCCTTGAGCACAAAAGATCAGTTATAGAACCTATGCCCTGAGTTCAAGCCTCAGGACAGGCAACGGAAAAAAAAAAAGTTTGCGAAATTTTATTTTCTACAATAAAATGTAAGAAAGTACTTTCCTTTGTCCTGATTTTATTGCAAATTGTCATCCTGTTGAAAAGCAGGATCCCGCAATGACAAAACATTGAAATAAAGTGCCAAACACAGAGAATTTGTTTTTTGTTTACATTTCCTAAGGCTTTGTCTTTTTAAATTGTTTCATATGAGTTTTCCTTGATTAACAATGTTGGAAAGCTATTTAGCTATATATAGCAGGCAATTTTATGTGTAATAGAAAGGAAAAGGGGGGAAAAGTTACTCTCAAAATCACAAGTTTTCTGTACCTGTGCCCTTTTGCATTCTTGTCTTTTTCTACCATTACCGGTGTGTATTCCTCTAAAAATATAATTTTTCTGTGAAGTTTTCATATGCCGTATTACAAAAATATACCACTTTTCAGAATATGTGAACAAAAGTCTTATAAAATGAAGGTTTGAAAACCCTCTGTTTTGATTATATTGGTTAAAAATGTTCACATGAAGACAGTATTGAAGTCTACCTTTTATCCAGCTCAAAGTATTTTATCTGTTCTTGCAGCGTACAGTTCCAAAATAAAATTGCATATATTTGAAGCATAATAGTAACTTAGTGTATGTGTGGTTGTGCTGGTACTAGGGTTGAACTCAGGGCCTAGAACTGTCCCTTAGTTTTTTCACTTAAGGCTGCCTGGTACTATACGACTTGAGCCACACATAGCTCTACTTTTGGCTTTTAGCAGGTTAATTGGAAACAAGAGTTTCTTTTGTTTGCCCAGACTGGCTTTAAACTGTGATCCTCATTTCTGCCTCCTGAGTAGCTAGAATAACAGGCTTAAAATCACTGGTGCTTGACTAATAACCAGTTTTTAAAGCATGATTTTTTTAAAAAATAAAACTTTACTCTTGACTGCTGTGTGAACCCAACACTTTTGTAAACTGTTCTTAACAGGAAGAGAATGTCAATAATAAGTTCAATTTACAATAAATTTGAGCAAAGAACATTTTGCCTTGTTGGAAAGTGAAAACAACTGTTGTTGTGTTAATAGGAACAATATATATTTACATTGGAACACTGGTATTGGTGTAAGCCTCTTATTAACTAAGTAGGAAGTTTGTCAGAGAGGTTAAAGTGTTTATGTCCTTGAGAAACATATTTGGGTCGGAGGCATGGCTCAGGTGTCAGAGTGCCAGCCAGTGTGGAACAATAAGCATCTCTGTCCTGATTATATTACGTGTGTGTGTGTGTGTGTGGCAGTTAATTGAACCTTGGATGTAGAAGCAGGAATCTATTATGAAATAGGTTCAGTGAAAATATGGGTAAATTGTCAAACTGAATCCATGAGATCTTTTTTTAACTAATTAATTTTTTTTTTATGTGGAGATGTATTTTTAGGTTCTGTTTGCTAGGCAGGTGCTGTACCACTTGAGCCACATCTTTCACCATAGGGTTTCACTTCTTTTGCTGGGGGAAAACGTATGTTGCCCAAGCCATTGTGGGCTCCGATCTTCCTATTTATGCTTCATGCTTCCCCACTTAGCTGAGATAACAGGAACAATGCCATCAAGCTATTGCCCAAGTGAGCCTCAAACCACAGTACTCCTGATCTCTATACACTTCCAAATAATTGTTTCTGTGTATATACATATAATTTACAGTACTAGAGCTATTGCTTCATAATGACTTTACAGCTTGTATATATATTATATACATATGACTTTATAGTTTGTATACAACTGAAATAATTACTGACTGGATCTTTATCTCAGGCATCTCTTGAATATCCTGGGTGTAAACATTTTTGTCTACTAAGTATGGATTCAACTTTGGCATGATCCTCAGTCATTTAGAACAAAATCTAAAGAATTAGATGTTTTTCTGAACTAGATAATACCTCTGAGTAAAAAAATGGTTAAAGCACTAAGTCAGATTTTTTTTGCTGTAGCTTTCTCCTGGGTCCTAAAGCAATTGCCAAAAAAGGCATTTCATCATTTTCTTTTGGAATCATTTCAATAAGAATGTGCGAGCAGGTGCTACTAACTCATGTATGTAGTTCTACTTAGCTGGTTGAAGCCAGCTGATCAGACAAACCTCCTTGACTTATCTCTAGTTAACCAGCAAAACATGAGACTGGAGAAATGGCTTAAGTGGTAGAGATCCAGCCATGAATGAAAAAAGCCAAACAAGAAGGCAAATCCCTGAGTTCAAGCCTCAGTAGTGGGTGGGGAGGGAAGGTTGTAAACAGTAGCAAACCCCACTAGCCATTCATATTTTATTTCAGGTCTGCTTAACAGAACCCTAATTTTGAGATATGGTTTAAATTTTGCAAGTTACTACTTTTGTACCTAACAAGTCTGTTATATTCAAGGATATAAGTATAGGTTATACTTGGCTCTGATGTAAGATTTATCACTTTTGTTTTTTTTTTGTTTTGTTTTAGCCATCCACAGTTATTTCGGGAAACTCTTCTAGTAACAATGTTTCCTCTTCAGTAACTAGTGGCCTAACTGGATGGGCTGCCTTTGCAGCCAAAACTTCTTCTGCTGGTCCCTCAACAGCAAAATTGAGTTCAACAACACAAAACAATAGTGGGAAACCTACTACCTCTTCAGCTAACCAGAAGCCTGTGGGCTTGACTGGTCTGGCAACAACATCGAAAGGTGGAATAGGTTCCAAAATAGGTTCTGGTAATAGCACCACACCCACTGTACCATTGAAACCACTTCCACCGCTAACCTTAGGCAAAACTGGCCTGAGTCGCTCAGTTAGTTGTGACAATGTCAGCAAAGTAGGTCTTCCTAGTCCTAGTAGTTTAGTTCCAGGAAGCAGCAGCCAACTAAGTGGGAATGGAAATAGTGGTACTTCAGGCCCCAGTGGAAGCACCACTAGCAAAACCACTTCAGACTCAAGCAGCACTCCCTCAGTATCCCTTAAAGGCCCAACTTCTCAAGAATCACAGCTCAATGCCATGAAGCGATTGCAAATGGTCAAGAAGAAGGCGGCCCAAAAGAAACTCAAGAAGTAGTGTAGCCAAGTAGGTTTTTATATCAATCATCTACTTTAGTGGTTTAAAAAAAAAAGCAATTATTGTTAAAACATGAACACAATTTAATAAAAAAAATCTTGAGAATCAAAGTTCTATTGTTTCTTCACGATGCTAAATATTATTTAGTCAAACTTGGAATCTTTCTTATTAAAGATCTAACATTTTTGTTAAAATGACTGATTCTTGATGAGACCTACAGAAGACTGATAATATATGCAACTTTAAAAGACATTGTTCATCTAGAAAATCGCCCCAAGAGTCGATCCTGCTGAATGAGGTGCCTTACAGGGATGATCCAACATAAGGATTTCTTTTAATGCTTTCCTTCCAATATTCTGAGTGTTCTGGTTCAATCATCATCACCCTCTTGGGAACTAATTCTATCTCTTCAATTATTTTGTCTTTTTTCAAAATTTTTGTGATTGATTTCTCATTCCCTGTATGTATATTAAAGTTTAAAATCACTTCACATCACTTTGTGTAAGAATTGATCTCTTCCAACAGATTGTGCGTTCTCATGCCTCTTTAAGGCCCCTTTTCTCATGTGTCCACATTTCCCCACATTACCAATGGAATATATGCTAGTAGTATATATTCAATAAAAGCAGAATTTTGACTCGACTTTGTTGTGCACATTCCTGAGAATTCTTGAGAAAATCTGCAAAGAAAATACCTTACAAAATAGAACATTATTACAATATTTAAAATTATATAAGAAATTGGAGAAAGCCATGAGTACATTTATAAGCCATCCTGATATTTTTAAGTAATGAATGAAGAATATATTCCCTAGATTATTTAATAACATCCCATTCCAGTCTTTTCTAAAATGTGGATTATTTTTCTGAAAGACAAAACAAGAAAAGGCAAACTGTACCTAGGTGTATTTAGCCGGCAGAGACTCAGTTTGAGTCTAGTAGCCCTGAATTAAAGGTATGTTCTATTGTTAAAGGTATGTTATATTTTTATAAATCACAGAATTAGTGATGGAATTTTTTACATACCACTTAGAGAATATAGAGAGGACATAAAATTAGACTTGTAAAACCATAACTTGTTAAACTAGTGGTCTCTTCCTGGAAAATATAAATTCCAATGTCCTCTAGTCAATTAAATTTAATTATTTTTATCAACTATAATGTAATTCTGTGCCTAATTTAGCTTTAATATTATGGGGTCTAGATGTTTTCAATATATAGTAATTCATTGACTACAGTGTGAAGCCATAATTACTACAAATGGGCCATAAAGGTGTTCGTTTGGCTTTTGCCATCTTAAGAGATAATTTCTTCTTTTATTAACAGAGCTTTAGAGGTTTTGGAATGAACAAAAATCCAAAGAGCTAGAGAAGATTTTGCATTCTGTATTTCAGTAGTAGAAACAGTTTCATAAAATCACCTAAATTACATTCATCCCAAATAGTGACAGGCACTTAATAACCATCTCTAAAAATTAATGTTTTGATTATATGCAATATTCCAGTACTTAAAGTATGACATACATTGCACTGCTCTGATTAAAAATGTGCATTGTACCTCTTCTACACTGCTCAACTTTCATGCTTGGGATACTTTTCTGGAGTATGTGCAGTGTGACCTTTTACCATGATTTCATTACCCAAAGCAATTTTGCATTGCTGGATTAATTTACATTCTCTAAACTTTAATATGTGTACTTTAAAGAATCTATATTTTAAAATAAATGTTGTACATTCACTTGTTTAAAAAGAATTAAGCCGGACGCTGGTGGCTCACGCTTGTAATCCTAGCTACTCAGGAGGCTGAGATCTGAGGATCGCGGTTCAAAGCCAGCCCAGGCAGGAAAGACCTTGAGACTCCTATCTCCAATAAAACCACCAGAAAACCAGAAGTGGGGCTGTAGCTCAAGTGCTAGAATGCTAGCCTTGAGCTGAAGAGCTGAGGGACAGCAC